GAAGGACTTCTTGCAATTCTTCTGTACTTGTGAAAATATAAAATACATTAATATCCAGATGCACTCTAATACAAGAAAAGTAAACAAAAACAAGATACAAGTCTCATTGTCTTGCACAAATGTCAACTCTAAAATAAACTAACTAAAAATGTTCCTGATGAATGTGTCAAGTGGACAAGCATACTAAAGTTAGAATTCAGTTAGTTCATACCAGCACATGATTACATTTTGATATTAAGATTAATACCACTATAAAAAGGGTAATACATTAAGAAGAGGTAGGTAGGTAAGGACTTGATTACGCAAAAAAAAGTTTTGTGAAACAATTATATTAACATGGCTTCAACTCTTATACATAAAGAAGACGTGCAGGCTAAACAAATGTAGAAGTGGCCACACATTAACATTGCATGGTAAAATTAAACCACTTCACTTCTGTATAGACAATTTCTTCCAGTAGAAAAACAGCTCAAGAGCCGGATTATATAGATGTTCTGTGGCTGGGGTGTCCCAGGCAAGCTTTCCAGCCAGGGGACATGCAAGGGCCATCCCTGCATTTAGGGAAACACACTACTTGATGGCCTGACCTCTTATCTTCCTGAAAAGCAGCAGCTGTCACAGACATAAGGGAGGGCTCCTACCCTGGGAGAATGCACCCCCATCCCACCAACCAACTGACTGGAAGGGGAAGGGGTCACTGTCCGAGGGTGGGCCTGCTGGTTTTCCCCAGCACAATAGCCTGGCTTCTTTCACGGGCTGACCCGGAGAAGGCAACCAGGGCACTTAACCACCACAAGGCTCTGAAGGCCCTGCCACAGAGGAGCACAGCAGCCTGCCTCACCCTGCACTACTCTGGGCTGACTCAGAGCAGTTCAGGGTGAGGCGGGGGCATTTCACTGCCAAACCTAGCTGCTGAGGCACTGCAGCCTGCCTCACACTGCTCTGCAGCAAGGGGAAGCCTGTGGAGCCAGGAGCCAAGTTTGGGGAAAGCTTCCACGGGCCAGGCACTCATCCCCTCTGGATTTTAAATCACTGCCCTGCTGCTCAGAGGAGTGGCAGGGAAGACAAGTGGAAACTGGAGGGGTTGAGATCCAGGCTTGGGAGGCTTTCCCCCCCCAAGCCCAGCTCCAGACTCCTCTAACTTTTAAACTGCAGTCCCCACAGCTCAGCCGAGCAGGAGGGCGAGGTCCCCAGGAACAGTTATGCTTGGGGAAAAATGTGCAGATGTTCACGCGAAAAAAAACTCTCTGGGAGCAATTTAAGCCTGGGCATCATGGCATTTCTCCCCAAGCAGCCATTTTTGCTCCAGGAGAAAAAAAGTGTGAACACCTGCACACTTTTGTTTTCTACCAGGAGAATGGTGAGTCTCCCAATATAAACTGAACATCTGTAAGCAGCTTCTGATAGCTGAGCCTACAAAAACCAAACTCATGCAGCACAATTTCAGTACAATGGGAAGGGAATAACATGTAATTCTTGAAGCACGCAGTGAAAATTCTTTTCCCAACCCTCATGGTTACTACAAAATACAATGTTTGTCTTGATTTGGCAGGGTGTTTTTTTTTTAATGCTCCCTAAACCTAGATTAGCAGAGATCACCACCCTAGTTATCTAAATGCAAAAGACCACAACAGCACTGCAGTCAGCTATCCTGAAAGAAAGCATGTGACTTCTACAAAAGGAACCAGCAGCCAAGAGTTGGGTTCTCCTCTATCAAAAGCCAGGAGAAAAAAGACCTTCATATTTCCTTAACCACATCTAGATCAGATTATTTTTCAAATACTCCACTATCCTAATTGATTGTTTGGTCCAACTTCTCTCCCACTTCTTCCCAGTTTTTATTCTACCTGCCTCATTCTGCCTACCATCTATGCCCCCCCATCATCCTTCCCTATATCCCTTCTCTACAAATGATTCTTCACAATGATCCTCTTCCTCCTTCATGTTTCCATTCATCTGCAGGATACCATGATAAAAAGTTAAAACTTGCATAACAGGAAATATATTAACAACCACCATAACAAACTGACTTCTGTGTATATCCCTTTAATTCACTCTCAACGTGTTTTTGAATCAAAGACTGTTCATATAAATTCATTAAAGTTTCAAATCCAGCCTAGTGAGGCACATGAGTTTATTAGAAGCACCTTCCATTATAATAAATTGAGAAATTATGAAACTGAAATGCCTAGATATACCGGATATAGTACTAGATACAGCACCCTAAGCCTAAAAGCTTGAGAACTGTTGACATTTTGAATGCTGTCCAAATAAATATTATATTTTAAAAATACATTAAAGTGGATGAACAGTAACTGATTTTTTTCCACTGAACCTTCTGTGAATACTTGAACAACTACTGCTATAACGCTATTTTGTTACTTTTTAGAGCAACAGCTGTTAGTAAACCAGAAAAAAACTCTTTGTATAGCCTATATATTAAGAGTACTGAAACGACCTTTTATCTTCCTCCAGCACACCTTTATATAGCTATAAGGAAAACAAGAGATTCTGTACACATTGGTGCTGTATGAAAAATCTCACAATTGTATGGAGGTCAGAAAACCAAAGATGTGAACCAGCTCTAAAAGACAGGTCAAGTAACTCAAAAGAATTCCTAAGCATATCCAGAAAACAGGGAGCTGAATTAAGTAATAATGATTTAGAACGATGGAATTTCTTGTGGCTTAATGATTAGGTGAGATTTGATGGCCCGAGGCATAGCCAAAGGCCATTAACCCCCAAACATTTGTTAATACAAAGTGCCCTGTACCTCTATAATTAATACTATTTGTGGGAAAAGAAAAGTGGGTTGGAAACAGGTGAAATGCATGTGCAGGTTGTTTTTCTAGAATGGGGGAATTTATTTCCAAGCAATTACCTTGCCCGAGTCATGTCAATATTTTCCTTTTAGTAAATTTTAAGGATTTAAAGACTCATTGGATAATAGTTGATAACTAAAGATGCTTCCTGACTACCAACTAAGTCACTACATTTCCAGTTTAAAAAATCGTGAAATTAAAAAAAGATGAATTTTAGTCAGGATATAATCACCTGCTTAGCATAACACACCTCCTGTGAAATGGTGAAAGAGCAACTGAAATTGGAGTGTAAATACACAGTTTTCTTTAAAGATATTATTTTTGTATAAAAATATTAACTGATTTTTTGTCAGCTACTTCCTTCTCCTTCTTGCAACTATTAAAACAAAAACCCCATTGTACCCAGCTCCTTACATGTTACCCAATCTCTCCCAAATTCAATTCACATTTGCTTCCACTGCTAACTTCAGTCCATGCACTAACAGCTCTCTTGGATTATACATTATATTGAAGAAAAATGTTATCTGAATTTTGAAAATGTTTTCTTCACTGTGCTCCATTCCCTTCATTTTCTGTTCTGTCTCTTCCTTCTCACAACCCCAAGATACTTTTAGGTTTATTTCAGTTCTCTGTCAGTTTGATATTGTAAGCCGGCCAGAGTAGTGGCTCATCTTCACACTGCGCAACTGTGGACACTGTATTCAGGGTGGAAAGTGAGGAAAATGTAATAATCGTCTTATATGCCCACAAAACAAATTCCAACTGTGTGAATCACCAGAACAAGATACTGCTCACAATATAGTATGCATGATCCAAGCTTCACTGGGAAATTTGCCTAGAGACTTGGTCAAATGCCACCCACTTTGACACCATTTCACAGCGAGTTCTATGCATCTGCAATCCTTCCTCTTTCTTAGATGAGGCACAAAACAGTCTATATTGAGATTTACTTTATTCTCACAGAGCAACCGAGTCAAACCTTCATCACAAATGGGATAATTAAGACCTCCTAGATGCAAAGTTCCAAAATTTGGTTGTGTCCTCAGGGTATTACTGAAACTGTCTGGAGAGTTAGTGGCTCCACTAATTTCATGGATTTACAAGACAGTTCAAAACTAAAATGCACCCCTCAGTTTTAAGACATGAGCCTAATTTTAGTCTTCTAAAAGTCAAATACTGCACTAGAAACACAAAAGATTGACCATAGGCAGCAATATAAAGTTACACAATAAAAAGCCTGGAAGAAACTGAACCAGGGAAGTTTTGCAGATAAATCAGAGACCAAAAATCAGAGTTCACATTTACAGGAATAGAGATGAAGACCATTACCAATAATTAAAACTGAAGGCCACTGACAGATGTGGAAAAGTAAACCCAAAACAACAACACTCCCTCTGCCCTACCAAAAAAACCCCACCCACCACCACCAAAAACAGAGCTTTACAGAAAGCAGAGACATGTCAGTTTGGCCTGACTCGCCCAGCGTCTGTATAGACTGCGCGCTTTGGCAGAGGTTTTTGCTGCTTTTAGCAGATTCAGCTATTAGGTAAAAGTGCTGAAAAGCCCCACCAAAGCACACAATATATACAGACATTGCAAGCCAAGTCAAACTGGCACGATGCCTCTTCTGGGCATGCACTGCTCTCAGCGTGGGGGCACACTGAGCTGAAAATAAAGCAGTTTTGGGGAGATGGGGGAGTGGGGTTCATGTCTGGAAGCAGCCTGGAGGCTCAAATCCTGCAAGCACTTACACATGTGCACAGCTTTACCCGTGCAAGGAGTTCCACTGAAGCCAACCATGGTCTATAGTTGCATATAAAATTTAAAGGAAAAAAATAAATATTTTAATTGGGTTTCTTCTGAAGTAAATGGAGCAACATGGTAAAAGAACTGTCAAGTATACTTGTTAAGTCACAGATTTGATTTTATCAAAAACCTTGTTTAACAACATTGCAAACTTCCATTCAGTCTTGGGAAAATGAGCGAAGAAGGAAATACAAAACAATTTATTACAAAACTGCATTTTATACAGCATAGTATATATTTTTTTTTTTTTTTATGAATTAAAGCATCATTTAATATTCAATCTTGGCAGGAAAATGGATCAATACACTGTTACAAAAATTAAAGAAAAAATATTTCTGCTACATTATCCACTCGACTTAGACAAAATATTACCTGGTTATCATATTTCAGAGACTGCGTCCCAACCAAAAATCGTATTGCATCCGTCTCTGCTGTCTGAGGTGTCAAAGCACGTGCCTAAAGAAATAAAAAAGCCATTATTATAATACTATAATGTACAGGACACGCCCAATATTTCTTGAACTTACAAGATTCACCAATTCACACATTAAATACTTCCCCTATTGTTAATCTGTTTTGACTATTTATGCAAGTCTTTTAACATATGGTTTGTTTCTCATGTTTGTGAAGTGTGCAATTCTGATGCTATACCAGGTGTGTCTCATAAGGGACCATATTAAATGTAAAACGTACTTTTACAATTTCTGCACTAGATAGCCATTAGGCCTGTGTGAAGCAGCAAGTATTCACTTCGGATTTGGATTCAGCTGATTCAGAGAAACAGTGATTCAATTCGGAGATTTGAATCACTGTCCCAATTTGATTTGGCCAAATCAGATCCGAAGATTTGACGCCACTTCAGAGATCTGGCCATAGACTAAACAGGCAGCAATCCTCACCACGCTGGACACGGCTGCCTCCAGCTGGTAAGTCTGTTGTGCTGAGTGGAGGGCAGAGGGAAGGGATTGGGGCTGGGGCAAGCTGCCCAGATGCCCCCTCCCCCGGCTGGGCAAATGGCAGCAGGGCATAGCCCCCACTTCCAGTGCTACGATGCCTGCATCCCAAGCCTCCCTGCCCCAGCTGGGCAGCTTGTCCCAGCCCAGCCGGGACAGTGGAGTTCAGGATACACACATGGCAGCACTGGGAGTGGGGGATGTGCCCTGATGTCGCTTGCCCAGCAGGGCGGGTCAAGCGGTGGCAGTGCCCACATCCTATGCCCCCCTGCCCTGGCTGGGCAAGCGGCAACAGTGGAGTTCAGGATACACACATGGCAGCACTGGGAGTGGGGGATGTGCCCTGATGTCGCTTGCCCAGCAGGGCGGGTCAAGCGGTGGCAGTGCCCACATCCTATGCCCCCCTGCCCTGGCTGGGCAAGCGGCACCAAGCCCCAATCACTCCCTCACTGTGGGGGCATTGATCTGCCCTCCCCACGCCCCTTCCCTTCCCCCTCTGCCCACCACAACAGACTTACCAGCTGGAGGCAGCTGTGTCCAGCGTGGTGAGGACTGCTGCCCGTTTAGTCTATGGCCAAATCTCCAAAGCAGCAAGAAATCTTTTCTAAATCAATTCAGAGGCTTCCAATTCGATTTGAACCTTTTAACTGGTCTCCCAATTCGATTCAGATTCGGTGATTCAGCTGCCAAATTGGGCCAAAATCTCCTTTGAATCAAAATCAGCTACTGCAGCTTCACACAGCCCTTATAGCCATCTATAATCTGCCACCTCCTCATTCAGAGAAAGTGTGTGTGTGTGTGTGGGTGGGGGGGAAAAAGAAAGAAATGTCTACAACACTGCCCTACTAGGGATGTAAATATTGTTTAAATAAATTACCATTTAAAACTCCTCTAACGATATCAGTTAAACGGTTAACCAATAATGCAACAATTAGGTCTGTTAGTCCCCTCTCTCCTTTTCCTCCCTCCCTCCCAAAACACTGGCGCACTGCAGGGAGAGGGAGCAGAGTGGCATTCTGTCCCAGGCAGCAGGACCAGCCGCAGTGCCTACCTGGCTACCTTCCTGAGATACCAAGCCGATTTCCTACCCCACTAGATCACATCCCAAGCTAAATGTTAACTGTAATGCATTACCAGTATAAACAGACTTGCTGGTTAACATTTCACATCCCTATGCCCTACCACACCTAGAAGAGCAGCTGACAAGCATGCCTCACCTTTTCACTCTTGCTCTGAGTGAATCAAATCCTGGATTTGTAAGGATTTGCGAGTGTAATGGATGTAGTGAGGACCAGCTATTCTGCACTATTTTCCTCATGTCAACAAGCCACAATAATGTTGCTTAATGCTGTGACAATATCATATTAAAACTGCAGAATTTGCATTGCACCTGATCTGAAACAGCCCAGATCTGTGGATTATACCAGCATGCTACAAGGCTTGTATTTAAAGGGCTCATTTTCTAGCAACTTGAAGCAGTGAGAGAGAATGATTGTATTATTTTCTTTGGCTATTTTTCAAATCCGGAGATAATTAGGTGCTATTTTGTTTTGTAACAGTCTTATTCTAATTAATGATAAAAAGATACTGAAAATTTTGGAGAGACATGTTTTAAGCCTATTAAAATAAAATAGATAAAACAAAAACAATGAGTATTTTAAACAGCATTTGAAAAGATCAACTTAAAGACTTTTATTCAGTGACTGTTTATCTAGAGGTTGCAATCAGATTGGATCTGTGTTTCTGAAGGAATTCAGAACTTCACTGAATGAATAAATATTTCAGACACTAGATGGAACAATGATTTACATCCAACACAATTTTTCACTTAGACAATAAGTAAAATGAGTTAATCAAAAACTAGCATCACCGCAAACATTTATACAGATAATGAAATCAATAAAAAAAGTGATTCAACTGGCAGTTTTTGTTAAAAACCAACACAATGGTGTATCAATAAAGATTAACATAGCCAAATCTACACAATGTAATTTAACTACCTGTATTAGGCATAGATGAAGTCAATGGGTAAGTACAGGCATTACAATTAGATCAAGCTAACCAGGTTTAACTTGATCTAAATGCCCACCTCATATAGGCATGTGGAGAGTTTAATTTGACCCAAAAAATGGCATGCCTAATCCAAGTTAGTTCACCTAAGGACATGAACTAACTTAGGTGGAGAAAGGGTTAACCTGATGTAGGAAGGGGCTCACCTGGCAAATGCCTGTGCATGTTCAGGTACATCCCCTGACCCTAATAGGGCTGTTTTTACCCCTCTAACCCCCACAAACTAGCCAAGCTCTCCCCACACCTGCAGACCTGCACCACAAGTTACTTATCTTGGGCTATTCACTCTGCTCCCAGCAGCAGCAGCAGACTACCTGCCACTCCTGATCTAGGCTCAAAGCAAGCCTTCTAAACCTAGACCAGGTGTGGCAGATGCTTGTTTGTACCAAATGTCACTAATCTCTAACATTCAGAGACTATATGCCAGAAAATAGGACAGTAACCAATTACAAAATTTAAAAAATTGTGCTGAACTCAAGTTTACATTGTAGATTTTTCCCAGAGCTATGGCAAGGGCTCCTTTTCATTTCATGTTGCCCTTAAGTGATTTTCAATGAATCACTAGAAATAAACCAACAGTTTGGCACCTCCTTCAAGCAAGTAGAGCCTCTGTTTCTATAACTGGAGCAGAACAAAAGACTTCTTGGATCTTTGATGTAATAAAGGTGTGACAGATAAAAGTGGCTTCTTACTGCTTCTTACAAATAATCTCTCAAGGGAGTCTTACCTTTTTGAAAGCAGAAGCATATCACTTTCTACAGGTTACCCTCATTCATAACAAATAGAACATGCATCTGGATTTATCACATTCTGAATTATTACTGGAGGCTCACCAGAATCTGGGAATGCTCAATTCTTAAGATTAATAGTTAAAATTACTTTTTGGACTTTCAGAATCCAAAGAAACTATGGGTGTAACTGCTGCGAGAATCAATGGAAGATGCAAAGAAGACAGAGCCTGGGAAAGAAGGAAGACCAAGAGCTGAGATATATCACATTCTGTAATAAAATACACATCTTTGTCACAGAATGTGGTATACTTCATCAACACACTCAAAGACTTTATGGAAAGTATGTGGGTGAAACTAAACAACCACTATGCTCCAGAACGAACAGGCACAGAAACAAAAAGGTCAGACATATCCAGTCACCTCTGGGGCTAGGATCAGACATTACACAAACAGGTTTAAGTGATCAGAAACTGGTTTAAACCCACTGCCCCCAGGGTACCACAGCTGGGGTCTGCCCACCCTGAGTGCTGCCCACTCTGTGCACAGGGCAAGCAGCAAAATAAACCCCTTCCTGCTCCCTCTGCTGCACACCAGAGGGAGGAGGAATAACCCCATTGTCTGTCCCCGCGCCTAAGGGGCCCTGCTGGCCGGTGCCTGGCCATGCCCCCGCCCTGCTACTGGAGCTGCAAAGGGGCAGCACCCCCTGCCATGGTATACCATAGTGCAAGCCTCTTCTGGGAGTTAGAGCTGCCACAGACTGCGCGGGACTAATAGCAGCACCAGGGTGCAGAGGGGACCATAGCCCCCCCATCCCAAAAGTGCCCACACAGTCCATGGCAGCTTTCCCTGCCCACAGCACCCCACCCCTGGGAAGAGGCTTGCACTCTGGGACACCAAGATGGGCCAGAGCCCCCATCAGGGTCATACACCCCTTGCCACTGAAGATGCCAGGTGGGAGCATGGCCAGATGCCGGCCAGCATGGCCCCTTAGGTGGGGGAACAGGGAGCAGGGTAATTCCCCTCTCTGCCCCCAGGGGACTGCAGTGGGGTCTGCCCACCCTGACTCCCACTGTTGCTCACTCCCTGCCTGGGTCAAGCAGCAGGATAAGCCCCCTCCTGCTCCCTCCGCCAGACGCGAGAGAGAAGGAGAATAACCTCCTCCTTGCCTAGAGGGCCGTGCCAGACGGTGTCTGGACGTGCCCCCACCTCACCTGGCAGCTACAGCAGCAAGCGGGGAGTGACCCTGATGGGGGCAGCAGCCCCCGTCAGTGTCCCAGAGCATGAGCATGTTCCCGGCGGAGGGGCCACGCTGCAGGGCAGGGAAAGCTGCCTCGGATTCTGTGGGCCTGGGCACCTATGGCCCCGTCCAGGCCCCAGTGCCACTGTTAGCTCCACGCAGTCCATGGCAGCTGTGATCCCCACTCATGGCCCCCCTGCCAGGAAGAGGCTTGCACTCCAGGTCACCATGACAGGGCTCTGCCCCCTCACTGCTCCAGCAGCAGGATGGAGGCATGGCCACATGCCAGCCAGCAGGGTCCCTTAGGCAGGGAGCAGGGTTATTCCCCCTCCGTCTGGCGGAGCGGGCAGGAGGGGACTTATTCTGCCGCTTGCCCCGTGCACAGAGTGGGCGGCAACGGTAGTGGTCGGGGTGGGCAGACAGCGTTTTAAGTGAGAAAGCCAGTTTCCTCACTGGAATGGAGGT